AGATGTATCATGCTTGGAAACACCAAGTGTTTTGTTCAAAGTTTGTATAGCTAATATGCCAAAGAGCCAAGAATGAAATCTATATTCTCCAGCTAAACACAATACTTCTCTTTACTTTATCAAAAGTCAAAAGGAACAAACAAGTACATGGATTGGGGCGCAGTAGGCTGCCAGAGACTCAGAGCTATATTGCATTCTGGCATAGCCCTATGGACTCAGAGCTATATTGTATTCTGGCATAGAGAAGGTCCGAGCATGAAGACAACTGGGTGAATCAATCCCAGCAGTGAGCCCAGGGCTCACTGAAACTTCCAACAACAAAGAAACGTTCTTGGTTACTAAACAGAAATGTGAGTGAGAAAACCTAGAATAATTCTCAAAATCATGTGGGAAGAAGAGAAGATGCCTTACTCTAAACAGAGAACTATTGCTCATTATTAGTTCCTTTGGGGCTCGTGGTGTTATTTATTTGGACAAGCACTGGAGATCTAGCACCAGGAACATTGGATATTATAAAAAAAGTTGTTTTATAAACAGTAAGGGAAACTCAATGAAGCAGGAGATAGGATGCAATACTTAGTGCATTTAATTTCCTTCTGAGGAGAGTGAGGCATAGCCTGTGTCAAGAGTTTCTTTGGGTTAAAATCAGAAAATCTGTGTAAGTATATATGCTTTACCATTAAATTACTACTCTTTGCTATTGGTAAACATGGGAAGAAAGGTGAATATTTCATGATCCATAGTCCTCAAGCAGAGTGTGCTTTTCTTCTATAGGTGATACCCAACAATGAGCACCAATCTAAACACTTTGGAGAGATACAGACAAAAAACAGAGCACCAAGAAACTAAAACGTTACCTTTTTTGGAAGAAATAAAGAAGCTGAGGTAATAGTATTACCATTACTCCCATTCCCCATCCCCACCATGGGCATCCCCTCTGCCTTATCTTTTACTGTCGATACAGTTGGGTGCCTCGTAGTCCCATCTACGTGCCCACCTTGCCCACATTCTAAGTGGTGAGCTCCAGAATCCTACTCCAAGACTTGGGACTGTGTCAGTGTGTCTGCTCAGGATGGATATATTTGTGAAGCTGATTTCTTAAAGTCAGAACTTTAAATGGCATTAAATCAGTCTATGTCATAAATCAACAGAAAGCCCCTCTCCAATTTCCCTTTACAATAACTATTCCCACTCATGCTTGTGTTTTAGTGAAAACTGGGGCTAAAATTCTGAATTCTGCAAATTCTTGCTATTGTTTCTTTCAAAAGAAAATTTAAAATATTATTTATTTTTATAATTAGAAAATTAATATACATTCTTTAAAGATAATGAGGAAAAGCAAAGGAAACTAATGACCCCCCAAAATTCTACATTCCAGAGAAAACTAGTTAATATTTTGGTGAGGCTTCTTTCAGTCACATATATACAAAATTGTGATCATTTATATTGTTATAAGCATACTTTTTTAACATAACATTGCATCATGGGCACTTTTTTCATTTATTCTTCTCCAAGAGTACAATTTTTATTGGTTGTATAACATGTTAAGTTATTTCTTCTCATGTGTATATTATAACCCACCACCACAAACCAGAATTCCAGCAACCTGGAGGAAAAAATTGCAGCAACTATTTACATCGTGATTAAATTTTAAACATGACAGGACATGCATGCAATGCATTCATTTCCTTTATTCTATTCTATTGGTTGGATCATACTGGGAGAAAAAATGTTAACCAGTAATAGTACTAACACCAGCTTTGCCAACTTTAAGGGAAAAACTTCCAAAGTTTCACCATTTTGAATTATGCTGCAGAATGAATTGAGAGAGATGATATTTATCACCTCAATTATGTATCCTCCTATAGCTACATTACTCAGAGGTTTTACCAAGAGTGAATGATGTCATTTTCCCAAATGATCTTTGGCATCTTGTTAGATGACCATATGTTTTATTTTGGTTTTTGCCTATTTCTTTAGTATATTAATAATATGCTGATAGATTTTTAAATATTAACATGGAATTGTATCTATTCTTGAAATAAATTATACCACTTCAGTAGACAGTTTAGATATACTTTATTATTTTTGCATATACCTTCATAAATAAGTGTGGAATAACAAAGCTATTTTTTTTGCTAAAATGTTTTTATAAAATGTTCTGTAACTTTTTAATATTGAAATTTATTACACAGCACAAGAATTGTTTCTTGAAAGTATAAAATAACTATCATAAGCATTCTGCTTCCAGTGCCCATTTTGAAAGTCAAGATCTCAATTAGGATCCCTATTACCTAACATAGTATATGTGACATAGTTTGTGCTGAATAAATGAAAATTTCTATGAGACAGGTAAGCACAGAGTGCTCCTGTGACAGCACATAGAAAGGGCATCCTCCTCACAATAGTAGGTGAAAAAGCTTTCCTAGAAAATGCAGTAGCTAAGTTAGGAGCAGCCCTTTTCAGCTTGAGAGACACCATGTACAAATGCATAAAGATGAAGGAGTGCAGTGTTAAGGGGAGACTGAAAGAAACTCAGCATGGTCATTGCAGAGCATGTGGGGTGTCAGTGCTGGCTCCAGGATTAGAAGGACCCAGGGGTGACAATGTGATTGCAGGGTGAGCTAGAGGACTTTACTTGAAGCGACATAGCAGCCCCATTTTATTTTTCCATAAATTGTATTCTTCTATTAGGATGTCTTCTGTGGAGAGGCTGAGGGAGATCATGGAAAAACAAAACCTCCCTAATAACTCCTCTCTTAACACCACAATGGGTGGAGAGATGGTATAAATAGGAGAAAGGTAACTGAAAAGGTTAAGATAGGCCCATATAATGGGTTGAGTGTTTTTGGTGAAGTTACTGTTTTCATTTCTCTTGTTTTGATCTAAATTCTGAAATATATCCTTCTTTACCTGGGATCTTTTCTGAACAGAAAGAAAGGTAGCCATTCTTCCTTCATCTTTTTCTCCTCAACATTCCCACCTCCCAGGATACAAGTGCTAACTTTAATGCTCTTTCTATAGCAGTTTGAATGTGTTTCTTCTCCACCTCTTCACTCCTTCCTCCTGTTTTTTACTTCAGAACAGCTGTGCTGGATCGAATTAAAATGGCTACCTTAGCTGACTCCTTTGTGGAAACAAGTCCACATGCCAATGTAAATAGAGGCAAGAAAAGAGGGTACAGGACAAAGGGAATATTTTCCAATATATTAACAATTTGTGTCATCATCTCTTTTTTAACTTCCCTCCTCCAAATCATTGTTTAGTACTCTCTGAGGAGAAGACAAAGGATATGGAAAGAAATGGAGAGGAAAGAACTTGCCTCTTCCTCTACCTACTAGAGTGCTAAGAGGGCTGCCATCTGTGACTAGCCAAAGAGTAAGATTTCATCTTGTCTTCAAGGTTTCTGGATAGGAAAAGACCAAAGCAAAAGTGTGGTTGTGGGGTCAGAATAAGCTCAGTAAGAAATATTGTCCTTCTAAATGAGAGCCCAGTAAATACAGTTACTACAGCAATAGTATAAAAATGTATGAGACACAGCCCTTTATATAAGACATCTTGACACAATACGTAGCTATCTGAACACAATGCTTAGATGTATTAATACAATGAACATGAAACAAATGGAGCATAGTGAGTTTTCAATGATGTGGTGCTAATGGTACAAGTTTCTCAATTGGAACAATCAATTGGGCTAGAAAAGGCAGTTAATGCAAGAAGGATCATTAAAGACTCTAAACTATATGTAGATTTGCAAAATGAAGAGGGGGCTAGGGATTCTAAATATGTGATTGATAAAGGAAAAAGTGATTGTAAGGACTTTCGTATCATTATTCTTGATCATGCTACTTTGTATAATTGTGAAACCATCTTCTACACATAGGAAACTGAGCAGACAACATTCCAAAGGCTAAAGGAAAAAATAAATGATCCAGTCTTTAGAGTTCCACATCACATTGCATATGATTAGGATCACAAATAAGTGATGTTTGCTATCACAGTGTAACACAGCAGAAAATTCATTTTTATAATCTCCTCTTGCTTATAATCTGTGTAGTAATATATGACAGAGTACAGTGGTTAAGAGGGCTGGGTTTTGTATTTATTTCTCTGTATGACCTTGAGAAAGTTACTCAAACTTCTGTCTCTGTTTTCTACTTTGTAAAATGGGAATAGTACTACACTTGAGAAGGGAGAATCCCAGGCCCTAGAAAAAAGCTATATATGGTGAGGCCTAGACTCCTTAATCCCTGGAAGCTTCTAGAACAATCCTCCAGTGGTTCTCAGACTCATAACAGGTTTTTGAAAGAGAAGCAGTTAGATGATCCACTGGGACCAAAAATGTTCAGTCTGTCAATTGTGGTTTCAAATTTTAAACCCCTTACCTTTAGAAAGCAAAATCTTTTTTTCTCCTTTTGATACAGGTAAATCTAAACATTATACTATATAACTCAAAATGTATGTATATATAAATATATATTTAACATCACTATATATATAAAGTAAATATATATTAATATCATATATATGCCATGTTGGAAACATCTATTCTGGGCACATAACATTTTATCTAATTTAAATCTAATTATACCATAACAAACAGTTCTTGCTCCTTCCACATTTACTATGAACTATGTGAGACTCAGGCAAAGTTAAGCAACTTAACAAAGTTATATCCAGTTTAAGGGATATGGTGCTTGGTTTATATAATCTCTTAAATAGAAGACAGCTTAATTAAAAAAAAAACAGCTCTAATTTCAAAATATTTATCTAGATTTGAAAGTTATCTGTTTCTAAATTTTAACACTTCCCAGAACAATACCTGTAGTACTGGTAGCTTTGACTGTGCTGCTGTGTATTCCAAAAATGGAGGATTTCTCAATGCCTTTCTTAATCATCAATAAAATTAGCATAGCATCCCTGCCCTTTGGATTACAAGGAGTAACATGAGAATCAAACACAACATTGGAAGTAAAGCTGTAATGGAAATCTACATCAAATATTTAAATTTTACTGAATCATGTCCTTTCCTAAACCACACAGGTAACATGGACACATGGAGACAGGAAATTACTCTGAAGTGACTGAATTCTTTCTGGTGGGGCTTTCCCAATACCCAGAACTCCAGCTTTTTCTGTTTGTGCTCTGTCTCATCATGTATCTGATAATCCTCCTGGGAAATAGCCTCCTCATTATCATCATCATCTTGGATTCCCGTCTTCACACCCCCATGTACTTCTTCCTTGGAAACCTCTCATTCTTGGATATCTGTTACACATCATCATCCATTCCTCCAATGCTTCTTATGTTTATGTCTGAGAGAAAATCCATCTCTTTCATTGGTTGTGCTCTGCAAATGGCTGCTTCCCTTGGCTTGGGCTCCACGGAGTGTGTCCTCCTGGCTGTGATGGCCTATGACCGGTATGTGGCCATCTGCAACCCACTGAGGTATCCCATCATCATGAACAGGGTGTTATATGTGCAAATGGCTGCATGGTCTTGGATCATAGGCTGTCTGAATTCTCTAGTTCAAACAGTCCTGACAATGGTGTTGCCTTTCTGTGGAAATAACATCATCGATCATCTGACCTGTGAGATCCTGGCTCTTCTTAAACTCATATGCTCAGATATCTCCATGAATGTGTTCGTCATGACAGTGGCAAGTATTGTTTTACTGGTGATTCCTCTACTGTTAATTTTTGTCTCCTATGTGTTCATCCTCTCTTCCATCCTGAGAATTAATTCTGCTGAGGGAAGAAAGAAAGCCTTTTCTACTTGTTCAGCCCACCTGACTGTGGTCATCTTATTCTATGGTTCAGCTCTTTTTATGTACATGAAGCCCAAGTCAAAGGACACAAAAACATCTGATGAGATCATTGGGTTGTCTTATGGAGTGGTAACCCCAATGTTGAACCCCATCATCTACAGCCTGAGAAATAAGGAAGTAAAAGAATCTGTGAAGAAAATCCTCAGCAGACACTTTCATTTATTAAAACCATGAAAGAGCATAAGCCTGAGATATCCTCAAATAGGGGAAAAGATCTTGTCTTTTGTATTTGGGTATTGCAGAACCTGTCATGAGAGCTTACCTGTTTGTAAAACCAAATATGAGACTCCCATTCTTTTCAACATAGGATATTTATGCTCAGGTAAACCTTAAACAGCACCTTCTATGCTGGGTTTCTAGCTGTAAGGAAATATGCTAATTGGTCAAAAAAAGGTTATGATGCTTTTCATCAAGATTAATCCCTCCATCACCACCCCACCTCTCACATTTCCTACCTTCACTGAATCTCACCTCTTTTCTCTATTTCATTCTGATTTCCTGCCCTCTCTCTATATTCTTTTGTCAGTAACAACCACCTGGATATAGGGGTAAGCATGGAACAGGCTTTGTCAGTAAAAAAGAAGGGATGTCTATTCCTGTAGTCATAGTGATTGGCATAACGTAGCAAATGATCTGGGCCATGCCAGTCAGACTCAATCCCAAGACTTAGTGTCAGAAAGAGACTCTCTTTCTGAAAGGGTCTCCTTATTGGTAGAATGTGGACTCAGGGCTTCCCATGAGCATCTTTGCCAATATGTGGGGAAGGCATGAGAATGAAAGGAGAGCTGAGATAGTGTGCCTGATGATGTCACTTCAACTCCTGAATCCAACTATGGTTAAAGACTGATTTACCATTGTACATTTCATTAATGTGTCAATTGGCATTTTATGAAAAAACAATTTGAGTTTGATGTTACCACTTCCAATCAAGTAAATCATAACAAATATATGTCCTTGACTCACCTCCCCCTCCACATACTTGTATTTTTAAGGCAAATAAAGTTATAAGGCATAAAATATGAGTAATTCCAAGTTCTCTCAGCTTTAGGAGTTCTCTTTCCCTTTGATAACTAAATTATAATAATCTAACCTCTGTTCATTATTTCAGGCACCCCAGTCATCTCTGCAATTATTTCTGAGGAGCATGTACATATTCCTAATTTTTTATCCTCATATTGTGCATCAAATTGATGTGATGGACTTTTTGCCATTTTTCCCTGTGTTTCAATGAATATGTTCATACTTTGGATCATTGCATTTTGCTTTTTTACATAATGTTTTTTAGCATTTAACAAACATTGTAATTTGGGAGATTATGGCCATTACGACTGTGTTACATATTAAAACACATAACTAGTAATAAGCTTATTTAACAAGAATTTCCTTAAAAGGTGTTGCATATCCAATTTTTTTCATTCTAAGCACCAGAACCATAATTGTAATAGACCAGGCAGGGTCCACTTAATTCAGTTACACAGAAAAATAATTTCTAGACTACACTGAACTCAAAATTTGACCACAAAATTAAAATAAATAATCTATTAATCTATAGTATAAAATAAAACATAAACACATTACATGGTCTAAAAGATCAAGCTATGTCTACAACCTCATTACCGCCTTACATGTCCATTAGACTCTAGTTCCACTGTCTTCTTGCTGTTTCTCAAAAATGCCAAAGCCTTCACACTTGCTATTCCTCCACCTGGGACACTCCTTCTCTAGATCTTGCTTCTATCATTTCAACAGCTCTTTGCACACATGTCTAATGTCTTTTCTGTAGAAAAGCCTTAACCTGCTTTTTATTCCCACAGCACTTCACTCCCTTAAACTGCTTTATATTTTATCTTTTAATGGTTTTATTCTCTATTTTTTCCACCCAAAGCTCTATAAAAGCAGGGACTTTTCTTTGTCCATTGCTGTATATCCCTGGTTCATAGTTCAATGCTAGAAAAACAATAATAGGAATTGGATGTAGAACAATCTGTAAGACATTATACATTTTACCCTGGAATATATCCATATATGAATTTCTGCCTCTTTCTGACTATATACCTGGTAGAAACCCTAAGCCAGTAGCTAAAGGACTATATTCTATACATTTCCCAAGCTACTCTCTTTTCTTTCCAGATTCTGCTTATTCTTTTATGTGTTAACATGAGCTTTTTGTTCCATACTGTCTGTGCTGAAATGGGTCACTACTTCTTAAAGAAATCTGATTTATCTTGAGAAAATATAATTTTAACTATATGAATATAAATTGGAATATCTAGGAGAAAGGAATAAATTCCTAGACACATACAACCTATCAACATAGAACCAGAAGAAACGCAAAACCTGAATAAACCAATAACAAGTAATGAGTCAGACGCAGTAGCAAAGTCTCCCATCCAAGAAAAGTCCAGAACCAGATGGCTTCACTGCTGAATGCCACCAAGCATTCAAAGAAGAACTGATATCAATCCTAGATAAAATATTCCAAAAAATAGAGGAGGAGAGAATACTCCCAAACTCATTCTAAGAGGCCAGTATCACTATGATACCAAAACCAGACAAAGACACAACAAAAAAACTTTAGGCCAATATCTCTTTGCATAGATGCAAAAATCCACAACAAAATACTAACAAATAAAATTCAACAACACACTAGAAAGATTTTACATCACGATCAAGTGGGAGTCATCCCAGGGATGCAAGGATGTTTTAACATACACAAATCAGTCACTGTGATACATCACAACAACAGAATGAAAGAAAAAAACTAATTGATTGTTTTAAGGGACACTGAAAAGTATTCAATAAATTGAATTTATTGAATTTCAACATACCTACAAGATAAAAAATCTCTCAAAAAATTGGATATAGAAAATACTTATGTAAACATGATAAAAGCCATGTATTACAGACCCACAGTTAGTATCATATTGAATGGGGAAAAACAGAAACCCTTTTCTCTAAGTTCTCAAACTAGACAACGATGCCCACTTTCACCACTATCCTTCAACACAGTACTGTAAGTACTAGCTAGAGCAATCAGAAAAGAGAATAAAGGGCATTGAATTGGAAAAGGCAGAAGTCAAGTTAATCTTATAGTCAATATGATGCTATAGCTAAAGAAACCAAAGGACTGTGTTAAAAAAACTATCAGAACTGATAAACAAATTCACTAAAGTTACAGGATACAAAATCAACATATAAAAATCAGTAGCATTTCTATATGCCAACAGTAAACAATCTGAAAAATCAACCAAGAAAGTGATCCTATTTACAATGGATATCAATAAATACCTAGGAATAAACTTAAGCAAAGAAGTGAAAGATCTCTATAATGAAAACTGGAAAACATCAATGAAAGAAATTGAAGAGAACACACCAAAAAAGAGAAAGAGATTCTATCCTCGTGGATTGGAAGAATAAATATATTTAAAATATCCATACTACCCAAAGCAATCTACAGATTCAGTGCAACCCCATCAAAATACCAATGACATTCTTCACAGAAATAGAAAGAATAAATCTAGAATTTATATGGAACCTTAAAAGGTCCACAATAACCAAAGCCATCCTGAGCAAAAAGAAGAAAGCTAGAGAATTTCTGATAATGTGAATTGACTTTTACTCATAGGGGATAAGAGTAAAGGTAATCTCTGATTCCAGTCCTCCAGTATTGTCATTACCTTCAAAAAGCCAAAGAAAAGTAGAAAGTTCCAAGAATCCACTAGGAAACTATTTCACTTCCACTTTTACATGTGCATTCCTGCTCTCTGTTTTCCATTTTAAAATATTATGACTTTCATTAAAATTGCCAAATAAAATAACATGAGAAAATACACACAACATATTATTAACAGTGGGTTATAAAACAGAAAATGCAGTGAGCTCTCAAGTTTTTACTATATGTAGTAAATACATAAAAATATGTCAAAATGTCAATGTTACTTATAATTTCAGTTATATCCAAAATCATAAGTAATTTTTATTTCCTCCTTTTGGCTTTTTTGAATATCCTAGATTTTCTACAATGAATATATATTATTTCTATAAGCAAGGAAAAATGAATTCCAAAAATAAAGAAAAATTGCTGTTTAGTAAGGTACAATTAAGTCTTAGAGACATTATCTTTTGTATATCTAAAAGTTGCCATCTTCATCAAAACCTAATGATTCAACTCTAAATCACCTGTGGGATTACAGAGTCTCTTGGAGGAAACCAAAAAGAATTTAAATTGGCTACCAGAGTCACTGGCTAGTCCTCTGAAAATGCTTAGGGCCCAGAAGTTGGCGAGTACTTGGGTGGCAGATTGATATACTACTGATTTAAACTTATGACATAGATCTATATTGGGGATGAAAGCTTTATTGTTGGTCCGTTCACCTCTCCACTACTAGCAGTCATCTGGAACTATGTGATATTTGCCTACAGGTTCTGCAGCATGACTATAGCTCAAAGAGAAAATAGCTAAGATTCAAACAAATCTACAGAGGAACAACCACACTGACTTTGGTACATAGGCAGAAAAAGATAGTGACACACTAGAGAATGGGAATATTGAGCAGAGATACTCGTGTTTGTGTCTAAAATGGCTTTCTTGTTTTGAAGACTGTAGTTACAATAAGCCATGTTACCTATCGTATGTGGAAAGTTTGAAGATTCTACTCTGCTATGGAAATGAGGTAAATTAGAGTTTAGAAGACTTATTTTCAGAAAGGAGAGGGAATTTAGGAACTAGAAATTCTGAATGCTTTATTTGTAAAGTTTTGAATCAAGCAGTGAAAAAAAAAATCATAGAAAATAAGAATTATTAGGTTGAAAGTATTTCCTTGGATACTTAGGAACATCACTTTAAATTAGTTGTTTCTCCTTGCCATGGAAAATGAAATAAGAGCAGCCTACGAATTTATATTAAACTAACATATATTATGCAATTGCACTGTGTCAAGATGTTTCAGATATGTATGTTAATTCTTATAACAACCCTACATAGTAGATATTGTTGTCCCATTTTACATTATGCTCATATTAAATATCATGCTCAAGGTTTGTACAGCTAATAAGCCACAGAGCCATGACTGAACTTGAAGTCCTTTGACTCCAAGACAACTGCTATTTCCATTAAAATATAGTACTTCTCCATTAAGATACCTTATTAGCAACAAGAATGAAGGGGTAAGAGGACTGGATCACAGTAGAT